CCTTTTTTTGGGGGGGGGTGGAGGGAATGTTAAGCTGTTTATGTTTAATACTCAGTTATAATGAACTAATGTGACAGGTGGCACTGGTAGTTCCATCAGTGCAGAGGTCACACACCAAATGCCTACTGGCATCAGGCAGATCATAAATGAAAAAAAGTGATGGGCTGGGGCAACACTAGGGAGCAGTAGGGATTGGGACGAATTGGACAGCCCAGCCCAGCAGACTGGGCAGAGGCTCCTCAGACTTCAGTGAGTGCTGCCTCACTGGGTGTAAAACAACTGCATGCCCAGCAACAATGGCGGTTGAATACCGAACTGATTCTGAAATCTTACAGCCAGTAATTCAGATAAAGCTCTAGGCCAGCGATTCTTGAATTCCACTTACCCGCTAGCAAAGCTCCTTTATGATGCACATAGAGCATTAACATCTTTAAACACAGTGGCCCCTGAAGAGCAAAGTCTGTGGTTGGCTTCATTTATCTTTCTACGTTCTATCAACCTGGTCTAGATGGTGTCATCTGACAATCTCATTTTGTAACCCTTTTCTGTGTTATGTGAATATCCTGGTCTCTGGTAAGATGAAGACATGAGGCTGCCACTCATATCAAAAGGTCTTTTATCTAAGAAGCCAGGAAGCCAAATGTATGGACACTATTTCTTTATCACATGGAACATCAATAGTATAATATTGTATAAATCTTTCTATAAAGTGTAACCTTCAGAGGAGTTTTCAGGTTTTAGCTGGGTTGCTGGCTGTTGGATTCTCTCACTCTTTTTCCTTTTCTATGGCATGCCAGAATAAACATCATCTTCTAGAATATACTACCTTCTCTTGAGTTTTAGTAATTGGAGTCATTACTGGTTTGTCTGGGTCCCCCTGCCCCCCAACAATAACCACACGAGGGATCAGAACCAGAGTTACCAGATCTTTAGAGGTGTGTTTTTTTCCCCCTTCAGCAGATAGCAGACTGGATTTCGTGTAAAATCTCCCAAATTTTTAAAATAAGTAACTACAGTTCATTACCCAGGGCCATCGAAACATGGCTGTTGCTTTGATACGGCCCACAAACTAACAATATTAAGCAGTGGTGGAAAGAACAAGGAATCCATTTTGCTTTTCTTCCATCCCCTACCTGAAGGCATTTAGGTTTGGAAACTAGAATTAGAAAACATAGGCACACGAGCTTGAGATTAAACATGAAAAGGAACTTCAAGGGAAATCTTAAACAATGATAAAAAACCAACTCTATGATATCATTCAATTTAATGTTCACAGTCTACCAAAATTTCTTGGCCATTAAAAAAACCTAAGTGTATATTTCTACAGCAATTTAGGGGTTTACAAGCAATTTTTGCATTCCTTTTTTTTACTTGCTCTGCACATCTTTGTTTTTCCAGTAAAATGGAAGCACAAAGCAGTCAGATGACTTGCCCAAGGGTTTACATCTAGTCAGAGCCAGAGCAAAAGAAAAATGGAGCCTTCTGAATATATTTGATAACTTTTTTAAAAAAAATACTTGATATATTTTTTTGTTTAAAATATGATATAAGATTTTCTATGTTCTAATAAGTGCTCTGGTGGCCCAGTGCTGAAAAGTTGCTCTGTCAACCTCAAAGAACACTGAATCTACCAGCTGCTTGCTCTGAGGGAGAAAGATGGCAAATCTCTTCCCATGCATTTCTAGCCTCTGAAAACCTGCTGGAGGGTCAGCTATGAGTTGGTTCTGACCCAAAAGCACATAACAACAGCATCACAATGGTCAGATCTATCATGGAGATAGCAGAGGTCCGTAATGAGTCATGTGGGAGCTACTGGACCAGGCAGTAATTCTGTGGCGCTTGGGTCATCAGGAGTCAGGGATGACACAATGGCCGCCAACAAGGCACATTAGACAATTTAATCCAGTAGTTTGCAACTTTTTGCTGCTTCCACTTTGTTTATATGTACCAAACAATAGCAAGAGAAACATTTCCTAAAGGCAGTTATTTAGTAACTAACATGGAGAGAGGCCCAGAACTGCAGAGGTTGGAAGGGAGAGTGTGTGGAGAGGCACACTCTTCAGATACTATCTCATATCACCCTCTACCCCTACCTGCTCCCCCTCCCACCTTGTAGGGGAAAATTACAGGTAGGTATAGTTCACACCTTTCATTTTTCACTTGACAGGTTAGAAAGCTGAGGACAAGTTAAAAATAACTGACTTGTCCAAGCTCATAGAGTCTAGAGCTCCAACTCTTAAACCCAAATACAAGGCATGAAGGGGGAGTGTCTCAAAGACATAATCACAGTGTGGGATTTAGGAGTTTGATTTTGTTTCATGATCTTTCCGGGGCACCAGACGCACAGGTTCTCTTACCTCCCATCCTTCCATTTCCAGTCCTCTCTTCCCATATATATCATAGATGGCCCTGGTTTGGGGATCACTAAGCACTGCAAATTAAAAACCAAACATGTTTACAAAGCATAAAATTCACCTTTCAATCCTATATGAGAACGCTGACAAAGCTACAAGGTAAGTCCATCTATTTTTTTTTGTTTGTTTGTATCTAATTACATCTTCCTAGAGATCTTCTTCCTTTCTCAACTGTTTTCCTGATCCAACCTATGACATGTCTAAGAGTGGATGCAAATGAGAAAAGTGGGGTGTTCCCAGTTTCCAAGCCGCTTTAAGTTGCAAGGAATCCCTTTTAGGAATAGGTACTGGTTCTCTAAGTTGTTCTTGAAATGATTTAATAAATAAAGTATATAAAATACCTGGCTTGAAAGAGCTAATTCCAGTTTGTAAAGAAGCTTAGTGTAAAACTAGAGACAGGCTTCGGTATTAGTAAAGTCTGATATAGTACTATTTCATTATTAGATTATTTCTTTTTTCATTATGACTAACTCCTAAGAAAGTCTGGATCAGGAGCTCTGGTGGCCTAATGAATGGTAAGAAGCTGTACTGTGACCCCAAAGGCACACTGTTCGTATCCACCAGCTGCTCTTCAGGATAAGGATGGGCAATCTCTTCTCGGGCACTTTACTGCCTCTGAGAACCAGCTGGAGGATCAGCTATGTGCTGGTTCTGACTCATGGCCCACAACAAGGTGGTCTGGAATCTTGGGAATACAATGTTTAAGCAATTGCCAAACTGCTGAAAACCTGCCAGTCTGCTTCTGAAAGGTCACACCTTGAGCACAGCTCTCTGCACACATGTATCTTTAGGAGTTAGAACCAAGAGCTACTAACAATAAGAAAGTCTACTTTATTTGCATCTCTCTTCCTTACTTATAAATCATTTTAATGGGAGGATACAAAGCACTGTCATAACAGTGTTGGCTATGCTGCCTAAAATACGGCAGGAAAAGATTCTCAATAAGGTGAAAGCTAATCAAAGGGCATCCGAACCAGATTTAAATGTCAGTGAAGCTCATGGTCGTTATATTCCTCCCTTACTCTGCCAATTTCTGTTCAAGACCTTTGCATCTTTTCCCCCCAGAGACTTCACATATATTTTTAGGCCTAATTAAAAAACGATGTAAATGATTCTATCCATATTCAAATCTAATGGGGAAGAAAGAAATGCTGACCACTGGGAAACACAGGAGCCAAACTTGGTCGGTTAATCTCTAGGATTTAATAAGGAATTATTTATTCACTATTTCACTCCAGCTTCCCTTTAGGCTCCACACTGGGGCAGGTTTGCTGCTGCAGCATTTTCATACTCACTGGTTGCGTTTTTCTGTTAACTCTTCCCCAAATGTCCAAAATGATGCAAACAAGCTGTGCAGGTAATTCAGACGCAGGAGTCAAACTAATCCAGTCAGTTAGACAACAGAGTGTGATAACAGGACCAGGCTTTTGATCAAGATCACCATGCACACAGGTGTCCCTCTGAACACAGTTAAATTAGGTAATGACAGGCTGTCACACTTCCTGTGCCCTACAGTCTGATTTTTGCTGGTTATTAACAGTTAACTTTTAGTTATAACCATAAAATGAAATACAGTATACACTCTTATGGTTATAATGAGAAACTTTTGTGAAGGATCTTATTACCTGATTTTCAATCTGTCTATTCAGGGGGCAAACTACTAAAAGACTTGGGAATCAATAACTTACCTGACTCTAATCCCTTTTTTTAAAAAAAAAAGAAATTGGTAAAAAAACCCAAAAAAACCTTTCAGATATACCTAAGAGTAGAGACATCTGAATTGCTTAAATCTGTTTTTTTTCAATTAACCTTCTTAACATCATTTTTGTTCTTTTGTTAGGAACTTTACTGAACACTATGCAACCGATAAAATAATTTTCTCATAAAAAAAAAAGTTCTTGCATCTTCTCATAGAGACGAAAAAGCTTTCTTGTAACGATCAGCCTTTCCCTCTAAGGGTTCCCTTCAGGAGAAGACTATTTAATTATTTAACACTTGAGTACTCGCTCTGTGATTCAGAACCTGGTCTCTCACTTCACTTGCACTTTCATTTTCTACTCTCCATACACAAGTCAATTTCTAAAAGCAAAATAGTACTCTTTCCATAGGATGCCATAAAAAGTACTCAACTACCTCCGCACACTTCCGAGGATTCTTTTTTCTATACATGCAGTATCAGCATCTACAAGCATCTGACCGTGTACAACCCATACTTTCTTCAAATCAACTCCTGTAAAGTCTATGCGTGCAAACCACAGTGCATACTAACGTATCAGACCCATATCAGAACATCATTAATACTACTGTATCATGATGTTAAAGATGTTTTTAGTCTATCTGGAAGTAGTTTTTTAATGCATAGAAAAGCATAGTGTATCATAAATATACATACTCTAGACACTAAGACAACACCTGATTGACATTAGGTATGAACCATATTTAACTGTTCTAACTTACATATAAATTCAACTTAGAGACAGACTTTGAATGCAATTTGTAATCCAGGGACTGACTGACTGTACTCTTCGAATCAAGGCTCTTACAAGCCAACTAGGGCGTTTCCACAAAGCCCAGCCCTCTGCTGACCTTCATAGGCCTGGTGAACAAGGTTGAAGAGTCGTTCGGCTTGTAATTTGAGCTCTGGATCTCTGTGCTTGTCTGGATGGTACAGCATGCACAGCCTCCGGTAGGCAGCTTTCAGCTCTTCACAAGAGGCCTAAAGGAAGGAAGGAAAAAAATCCATCAGAGAAGGACCAATGAGTCTTAAACATTATCGGGATGAGAATCAGTCTTGAAACAGGGACCTGTGAGCCACAGGACATGTTTGCTCTCTAAATACAGGATATAATGAAGTTATAACTTTATTACCTCAATATGGCTTTTGTTTTCCACAGTTAATAAAGTGATCAATTGTGTGTATCAATAGTGACCATCTTTTAATGGGAACTGTAGCTGTTAGATGGAACAAAAGCAGGGTCTCCACACCGGATCAATGTGCTCGCAGCTTAAACCCAAAATACCAGAGACCAGCTTACTCTCCAGCTTAAGTTATTTGAAGCAAGTCACGCCAAGGAAAAGAAAAAAGGCTAAGTGTTATTTGACAGAAATGCTATGCATCTAATCAGTTTCTGACAAAGGAAATACAATCAGTATTAATCCTGATCAAAGACTTGCAAAACCAGCACACAGTTCTAATTTTAAAAGGTAGGCCACAAAGCAGGCTAAAGATGCTGTTTTAAGTCATTTTGCCCACTAACTCTCTAGTTTACAAAAGTAGTCCACTTGAAGGGGAAAGGCGAAGCACACTAACAAGACAGATGACACGATGGCGGGAGATGGGCATAGGGGTGTGTGAGCCACACAGCAGGGAAGGTAAAAGCTCAATGATGAAACTTAGGATTCTCTGCCTGCCTCATGGCCACCAAGAAGTTCTCACAGACTCCCTTCCCTTACAGCCTCCAGGAGAACTGCAGGGTGGCCCCTCATGTCAGTTTTTGAGAAGCATTATTTCTGATTTTCATCTTACTTTCAGAAACCATTTTGGTCCACTGGAGGTACTGCTGAATTGGCAGCTCCATTGGGATGACCTGTCAAGTCAGGAGGATTTTTATTTTGTGAGGCAGTCCCACCATTTCTTACTGCAGAAGCACATTTCTGGGTCACTGACAATCTGCCAAAGGAAGGCTGGACAATGAATAAGGAAGACCCAAGAATTTGATGCCTTTGAATTAAAGCAGTGGTGAGGCATATGGAATAGGCACTATGGATCTGAAGAATGAACAAGTCTGTCACAGAAGATGTACAGGCAGAATGCTCCTTAGACATGAACACGGCGAGACTTTGTCTCACGTCCGTTGGACAAGGTGTCAGTCAGGATCTATTACTGGGGAAGGACATTCTGCTTGGTAAAAGGTCAACGAAGAAGAGAAAGACCCTCAGTGAGGTAGATTGATGCTGTAGTTGCAACAATGGGGTTGAACAGAACGATGAAAGAAAGGATGGTAGGGAGCTGGGAGCGTTTCACTCTGTGTACACAGAGTTGCTAGGAGGTGGCACCTATCAACAAGGTATTCAGGTGATGGAAAACCAAGAAATTTATGCACATTTATCAGTGGTTTTAAATAAAGAATTTAGAAGAACTACAGGAAGAAGACAATTAGTAGGATGAGGAGATGCTGGGGACAGGAGGCCCGACAGTCATTTGTGCTCTGTATACGTACTCCCACTACCTGCCTGGGACTGCTCCCTGAGTGAGGAGCAGAAGGTGAGTGACTGATCTCTGATAGTCTTTTCCAGCTCTTCCCTCTGCCTGAATCTCTCACTCAGGAAGGAGCTAGAATTGATTCTCTCACTTCTCCTTTAAAGTTGGTCTGCCTGCACGTCTTGCTGGGTTAATTAAAGAAGGAGGTCTAGTTGTTAGGTGCCAAGTAACAATGAATTAATGGATATCCAAAATCTCTGTAAATGTTCATTAAAATTAATTTTAAAAAAGCCTATGAACAACATAACCATGCCTAATCTTGTGCCATCCTCATAATCTCTGCCATGCTCAAGCCCTTGTTGTGGTCACTCTGTCAATCCATCTCACTGAGGGTCTTACTCACTTTCTCTGAACCATTCCCTTTCCTAGTAAGACATCTTTTCCTAAGGACTGGTGTTTCCTGACAACATGCCCATACAATGTGAGACAAAGACTCACCATCCTTGCCTCTAAAGAGCACTCTAGCTGTACTTCCTCCAAGACAGATTAGCTCTTAAAAGGGTGCTGTTCCAGGGAGCTCTGGTGGCCTAGTGGCAAAAAGCTGTGCTGCAATCCTGAAGGTGCACAGTTCAAACCCACCAGATGCTCTGCTGGAGAAGGAGGGGCAATTTCCTCCTATGCCAGTCAGATCTGATTTGATGATACGCAACAAGAAAAAAAAAAGAAATATTTAAAAAAATATAAAAAGGGTTCTGTTCTTACTCCATCAGAGTCAAGGACCCTACTGACTGAGCATCTCTGTGCTTGTAAGGGCCAAGTAGCTAGACTCTGTCCTATTACATCTTCCATCTTTTTGGTGAAGCCTTTGGGAATTACATTACTGAATAAGACTTGGTTGATTGCATTTATCCCTTTCCTTCATCAGATCTGTGTGATTCACTCGATTTTAACATACTAACCTCCAGTTCTAGTGGTACAGAATGCAGACTAGGGAGTCAGGTACATTGTGCTTAGATACTGGATCTGTAACATAACAACTGTGATGATGGGCAGATTATTTTTCTGAGCTTCAGGGACAGCATGGCGGTGAAATGAGATCATGACCAAAAAGTGCCCCAAACACAACAAAACTTCTAATGTGTGTTTTGTTTTATATAAAGCCTTTCCCCTGGGTTTTCTGATCTGAAAGATGTGGAAAATGGCATACCAATTGACATATTTCAACAAACAGACACTGTCCTGAATGTGCTCACCAAGTTGTGCCAAAAAATCTGGAAGACAACCACCTGGCCAACTGGAAGAGAACCATATTTGTTTCCATTCCAAAGAAAAGTGACCTGACAAGAGTGTGAAAATTATTGGACAGTATCATTAATATCAAATGCAAGCAAAATTCTGCTGAAAATTATCCAGAAATGACTGGATCAGCACATCAACAGAGAACTGCCATATGTGCAGGATAGGTTTTGAAGAGGTGGTGGTACTAGGGATATTACAGCTAATGTTAGATGGACTTTGGCTGAAAGTAGAGAGGAATGTCTATTTCCTGGCTGCTGGTACCAAGAGTCTTGGCTGTGGAGCCAAGCAAACTGAAGCTGTTAACAATCTCAATTTCTTTACCATCTATCATGATGCTGACAATTGGCCCAGTGGTGAGAATCTTTGTTTTATTGAGGTTGAGCTTCAATCCTTATTGAAGGCTGCAGTCTTTGACCTTCTGCAGCAAGGGTTTCAGGTCCTCCTCAGTTCCAGCAAGCAGGGTTAAGTCATCTGTGTAACAGACTGTTGATGAATCTTCCTCCAATCCCGATGCCACATTCCTCCTTATAGAGTCCAGCCTCCTGGATGATCTGTTCTGCATATAGATTGAAAATATTTGGAGATCCTTGGCATACACCGTTTCTGATTTTGAAACAATGTGGTGAGTGACAGGATAATTTTCACTCGCACACAAGAAAGTCCAGTGAATACTACCATCATTCAAATATATGCATTAACAACTAGAGCCAAAAAGGAGAAAATAGAAGATTTCTACCAACTTTTGCAGCTAGAAATCAGTCGAATATGCAGTAAAGATGCATTAATAATAATGGGTGACTGCAATGCAAAAGCTGGGAACAGAGAAAGAAGGATTAATAGTTGGAAAACATGGATGTGGTGACAGAAACGAAGCTGGAGACAGAATGACAGAATTCTGTACAATCAACAATTTATTCTTTGCAAATACTTTTTGTAAGAAACACAATCGTAGGCTATACACATGGATTTTACCTGATGGTATGCATAGGATAAGACTGATTACATCTGTGGAAAGAATTGCTGAAGAAGCTCAATATCAGTTGTGAAAACTAGGCCAGGTGCTGACTGTGAAAGAGACCACCAGCTACTCATAATGCAAGTTCAAGATGAAGCTAAAGAAAATGAAATCAAATCCACAGGAACAAAAATTTGACCTTAACTCTATCCCATTTGAGTGTCAAAACCATCTCTGGAACAGGTTTGAGATCCTGAACATTAATGAATGAAGACCAGATAAACTGTGGGAGGTGATCAAGAATATCATCCAAGAATAATACAAAAGGTCATTACAAAGACAGAGGAGGAAGAAAACACCAAGATGGATGTCAGATGAGACTCTGAAAATTGCACTAGAGTGCCAAGAAACTAAAACAAAGGGAAGAAATGAAGAAATTAGGAAACTGAACAGAAGATTTCAGGGCAGTACGGGAAGACAAAGTAAAATATAATGAAATGTGCAAAGACCTAGAGTCAGAAAATTAAAAGGGCTGAACATGCTTGTCATTTCTTTTTTTAAATTTAAAAAAATTTTTATTTTATTATTTTTTATGTGTACCATCAAAGTGGATCTGACTGGTACAGGAGGAGATTGTCCCTCCTTCTCCAGCAGAGCATCTGGTGGATTCGAACTATGTATCTCTGGGACTGCAGTGCAGCTTCTTGCCACTAGGCTACCAGAGCTCCATGCTTGTCATTTCTTAAGCTTAAGGAACTGAAGAACAAATTCAAGCCTTGAGTTGCAAAACTTAAGGATGCTTTGGGTAGACTATGAAATGATCCAGGAAGCATTAAAAGAAGATGGAAGTAGTATACAGAGTTAATGTACCAAAAGGAATGGGCTGACACAGAAGAAATTAATGAAACAATGTAAAAGCAAAGCCTGTAGTGATGAATGAAGAAGTTCAAGCTGCTCTGAAAAAACTGGCAAAAAATAAGGCCCAGGAAGTGACAGCATACCAACTGAAACGTTTCAACAATCAGACGATGCTGCCCTGGATGCACTCAACAAGCTGTGCCAAGAAATCTGGAGGACAACCATCTGGCCAACTGACTAGAAGACATCCATACCTGTTTCCATTCCATTCCAAAGAAAGATGATCTAATAGAGTGCAGAAATTATCAAGCAATATCATTAATATCACATGCAAGCAAGATTCTCCTGAAAATTATCCAGAAACGACTGGAACAGCACATCAACAGAGAACTGCCAAAAGTGC